GAGATCATCCTCCAGCACCTGTGGGTCGCATGCTGTGTCCAGCCTCAGGCCCTCATCTTGGTGGGGGGGGCAGCTCTCATCTCCTCACACCACCAAAGGCACCACCGTCCCCACGCCCACTTGTTTTGGTGGCACTTGCCAAGGGCTGCCAGCTGGTCACAGTGGTGATGGTGCCTGAGTTCACACTCCTGCCCCGAGTGACACTTTGCCGGTACACGGACTCGTTGCCAGCACAGCCATGCTCAGAGCCACATTTCACCGTGCCAGCGGCAGTGGCTTAGAAGTTTGCAATTAGTTTTATTACCCAGCTAGCACAAGCCTGGCAGCTAATGAAGCACATCATGCGAGCGAGTTGGGCTGGGCAGGATGAAATATTCATTACTCCTCACCCCTGCTCACCAGCCAACGCCATGGCTGATGCCCTGCCACGGCCACATAAATCACCCTGCTCAGCCATGGGGCTAGCAAATTGGAGATTGACGTGCTTTGGGACTCACAGCCACTCAGAGAGGTATGCTAGAGAGTGGACAGAGTAGTGGTGGGTCCTGATATGGGGGCACCCTCCCAAGGTCCCTTCCCAGCCAGGGAAAAGGGGCTGCAGCCATGGGCACAGCAGTGCACGGTCTTGGGATCAGACCATGTCTGACTACACCGGGGTGCTCCAAAAAGCCAGGGTGTCAGGCAGAGAGCTCAGATGCTGCATCCCAGAGAGCGAGTTTGGGGTGCAGGCATGGGGCCACTCATGTGCCCTTCTCTGCTGGGGACACCAGGGAGCATGGCCAGTCCCTGCAAAGATGCAGGCAGGGACAGGACCCGGCAGGGAGGTACTATCACTGCCTGGCAGGCTAATTAAACCACTGCGGAGACACCCTCCACCGTCACCCCTCACTACACACACAAATTACATCCTATATGTGTTTTATTTACTGTGCCGTTTTTAATTAAATCTGCAGTCACTCGCTGGTGGGGCGGGGATGGAGATGGGACTCACCCTGATAGGGACAGGGACAAGGATGTCACCGGCAGGGAGGACTGGCAGCTCTGGCCTTGGTTGAGGGGGACAGGAACCATCCCAGCCATGGACACAGCCTCCACTCGTGAGCTCTGCACACAGAGAGTGTAGGGGCTGTGTCTGTGCGCAGAGAGGGTATAGGGGCTGCACTGGCGTGCAGGGATGGTTATAGGGGCAGCTTTCATGTGCAGGGAAAGTGTAGGGGCTACATTCATGCGCAGGGAGGATATAGGAGCTGTGTTTGTGTCCAGGGAGGGTGTAGGGCTGCATTTGTTTGCAGGAATGGTATAGGGCCTGGGCCTGTTCACAAGGAGAATAGGGACTGTATTTGTGCTCAGGGTTTATACAGGGGCTGTGTTTGTGCTTAGAGATGATATCTGGGCAGTATCTGTGGGCAGGGAGGGTATAGGGTCTGCATTCAGCACAAGCCTAGTGTGGCTGACAGACCCCAAGGGGCTGGGAGTGCAGGCACTGCTGGGCTGTCAGGGACGTGTTGGTGCCCAGCCCGGTGCCCGGCCGAGGCTGGCAGCACTGCCCAGGGCTGATCCAGGTGGGCCAGAGCCTGGCAGCCTGCTCACAGCCCCTTCTCCCAGGAAAAACCACGTCCTGTGAAAGACCCAAACAAGAAGTCCTCCTAAGTGCCCACATAACAGCGCTCTGTGCGGGCAGTGTTGTGGAATGGCTGGGGAGACAGGGACAGAGTAAATCACAGTTTGAAGGCGCAGCTGTCTGAGGGAAGGAGAAGTCTTCAGCAGTGGTGCTGGGAGGCAGGGATCTGGGATTCACCCTGGGTGAAACCTGCCCATGTCCTGCCTGTGCCTCAGGGCCATGGGGAAGGCTTGAATGAGTAATGACAGTGTTTCAGGGAGGGACAAGTGTGGGAGGGAGCCTTAGGAGAGCTAAATATGCTCCTCAAACACCCATCGACTGGTTTGCAGCACCACACTGGTTGCTGTGCCCAGTGCCGAGGAGAGGGGCTGCTCCCCAGAGCTCTTGCACTCCAAAATGCATTGAAGGTGCCCCAGGAGGGAGCAGTGCGTGGCCTCGGGGTGCTCCCAGCTGCCTACCTCGGCTAGATCCTCCACATCTCGATCCCAGGGTGGCTAGCATGGGATGTCAGGGTGCCGGGAGGCTCCTAGGTGTTTGGGGTGCCCCGAAGGGCCCTGTGAGCACCAGGAGGTCCCACTGTCCCTGAGGCAGCATCCCCACTTGCCCCATATCTGCTGTGCTACCCCACCGTGCTCTGTCAGCCCCCCCTTGATTAATCACAGGCTGGGGCTGCCGGCAGCTTATCTTTCGCTTTAATAGCTGAATAATTTAAAACCGCTCTATGCTGGCATCTT